GTCGTCACGCGGGCGGTGCCTGCGCGAGGGCGGGGGGGGGCCAGGGGGGAAGCGCCGTCGTTCATCCGGGTCCCGCGGCGGAGGCAGCGGGGGGCGGGGCCTCTCCTCACGTGACGTTGCGTGGCGGCGCAACCGCCATCTTGTGTTGTTGGGGCTGAGGAGTCGCTGTGGCCGTGAGGGACTCTCCGTCCGGGAGCGCAGGTAACGCCGTCCCGCCGGCTCCCTGCCCCCGCCACCGCTTCGGCCGCCCCCGCCGGCTCCCCCACCGCCGCTCTCCCGCCCGCCGCCGTCCTTCTTCCCCGCCTGCGGGAGCGGGCCTTAGGCCGCCCGCCGAGCACCGGCCTCGCCGGCGGCTCCTGTCCGCGGCGGGTGCCGCAGCCCCGAGGCGCCCTGCGGCCTACCGGGAGGGGAGGCCGCCCCGGCCCGGCGACGAGGGGCGCGCCCGGAGGGTCTCCCCTGCGCTCCTGGCGATGGGCTTTCGCGGGGCTTGTTGGGCCTGGCCCCGCTCGGAGGTGCGGGCCTTGCCCTCTCCATGCGGCTCCTTGGCAGCAGGTCCCGGCAGGGGGAGACGGTGCCTGTCAGCCGACGGTCGGGCGCCCGGGGCTCCTCACGCCCTCCGGGGCTGGCAGCTGCCTCCCCGGCGTCGTCTCCCCTCAGGCTGACCCTTGTGAACTCGCTCGCCCCCTCCCAGCCCGGTGGGAGCGGGCCTGTGATCCGGCAGCGCCGCGGGCAGGTGCGCCCTCATTGAAGCCTATGTGTGCCCCGCTTCGAGCACGCCCAGCCCTGTCAGGTTATACAGGCACAGGAAGGAGGGAGCACTCGAGCCTTTCCCCCTTCTCCCGCAGGCAGCAGGGTGTTGGGAGCAGCAATGACCAGCAGTGTTTGACTGGAGAGGCCTTGGCAGGCTGAAGAAAACATCGATCAGGATTGTGTACGTTTGGTATTGATCCAAGACAAGTAGTTTTCAGTGTCAACAAAGCAGTCTCCGCTCTTTCAACTCTTGTCTAATTGCACTTTGAAGTGGGACAAGTTGTAGGCCAAAAGGAGATGTTGCCAAGTAGTACTTCTGGAATAAAACCTACATTTTCCCCCGTAACCTTCAGCTTAATGTTCTTGGTTTGCTACTGTAATGCTTTACCTCATACTGTAATTCTTAAGTTTTTGTTTTGTTGGGTGGGAGGGGAAAGAACTTCTGAATTCTGAATATGTTCTTCTGTCTAACTTCTTGCTGCTCATTCTATTTTCTTGCTTCAGGAGCTGACTTGGGCAAGTTCCTGGAAAGTACGTGTGAATTTTTTTCCTTTTCCCATAACTCTGCTGGTTGCTTTTGTTCTTAAGAAACTTTTTAATAAACACAAATTAATTTGTTGCTTTGTGAATAGAACATTTGGTAGATTCACAGTGTGATAATTGGGAACCTTTGTAAACAAAATGGGTTGCAGTTGTCACCAACAAAAGCTTTGTTCTGGTAATTTTGAGCTCTGTTATTGGGTGTTGGCTCCAATAGATAATAAGGGCTTTCGTATTATGAGGTATTGGTACTCTTGCTGTTTGCTTGAATAGGCATCCTTTGAACAGTTAGCAGATGCTAAGATAAAAATGTGTGCCCTAATACGTCATGGGGGTGTTAACAGAAATGTTGGAGTGTCCATTGCCCCTTCTGCACCCCCTTTGCCCCCTCAGGCTCATCTAGTTCTACAAGTTAACTGATGTCAATGGTCATGTGTGTCAGTGTTAATTTCTCACTGCATGTGTGATTAAAAAAAAATAATAAAGATTCTATTGAAGGGTATTCTGCACCCCCTTTGCCCCCCCAGGCTCATCTAGTTTTACAAGTTAACTGATGTCAATGGTCGTGTGTGTCAGTGTTAATTTCTTACTGCATGTGTGATTAAAAAAAATAATAAAGATTCTATTGAAGGGTCAGCTGTAGAGATTTATCCATGGAAGTTGAATGTCACTTCTAGCAAGACCTGCTTCTTGTGTTGAGACTTTGATAGCCCCTTTCAATAACTGAGGATATTGTATATAAATGCTAGCCTTTCTTAGTGATTTTAAAAGCTGCTCGGGCACTCCCACTTCCTGGATGCATGAATGTGCATGGGGGTACCTGGTCACTGTATTTCTTTTAGCACCTTTTCTGAGTGGTTTCTTGAACCTGTCTTTTAAAGCAGGAGCATAGGACTAAAATGCAAAGTAGTCATGTTGCAGTGATGATTTTTTTTCACAGGCTGCTTACAAAAATGATTTGATACTACAGTAAAAACTTGGACTTGTGCAGATCCTCTTTTCATTAGAGATGTTGATTTTTAGAGGACTATAAAATATCCTCATGTACTACTGTTAGTGTTTTTTCTTGCCTTCCTAAAACATATAGTAAATGAAAAATACGATATTTATGCTGATATAAGTGAAAAAAAATGCTTGTAAATAGGGAGTTGAGGGCTTTACAATTTAATTTTTCCAACTGTTTTACTTCTTGATTGAGGAAAAAACACTGTCCGTGTAAAAGAGAAGTGCAAAGGAGGTTTGTTGGTTGGTATTTTTTGTAAGGCATTTAGACTAAGCATCTCTTCTGTGCTTGCTGTATCCTAAGGCCAGTTGTCTAAATGGAGCTCTGTCATAAACTGGAGTTTCTTATACCTGAATGTAAGAAAAAAGTTGGCAGCACTTTTAAGATCTATAGATACTTCATTTAAAAACAAACTAGATGTCAAAGTCATATGGAACATCTCACTGGGGCAGCTGACTGACTGAAGAGGTGGTTTGCCACTACATGCCTGTGCTGAAAGATTTTTCTAATTATTTAAACGTACAAAGGAAACACTGGTTCACAGTAACTGATGAAGATGAACTAGGTACCTGGATCATGGTCTTTTCCTTCCCCTCTTCCTCTTTCTTTAAAGTAGTTGAGGCTTCCAGCTCTTTAGATTTTTTGTTTGTTTGTTTGAAATACCACAAATATGAAATTTGATTCTTCCTATCTTTGTCTGATGTTGTAAGTTTCAGTAACTGTCAAATGTATGTTTCTTACTTTTTCATTGAGACCTTTAAAATTCTTTCTTAGGTCTTTTAAAGGTGCGATGTTAAATCTTCTCAAAGTCAGATTTAGGAAGAAATTTCTTTCTAGCATCATCGTTTTGCTGTTTGTGTGGTGTTGTTTTTTTTCTCTCAGTGCTTCTGCTCAAGGATGAGTAGAGATAAGCTATATTTAATTCATGATTATAGATAGACAGAGCTAAGGGGGCAGAGCAATAAAATTTCCACTCACAAGCATAAAAGCACAGACCTGATCTTCCTTCTCCTTCCTACATAGCTTGTTAGAGATCCATTGGATGCTTTAGTAAGGAGAAACCTGTCTCCTCTTTGTTACTGAAGAAGCATTTGTGTTGAAAGGGACTCTGTTTCTTTGTGTGGTTTTCTCGTCAATTTATTTTAATTCATTGGGTGACACTTGAAAACCTAGGTGTCTGAAATGCTGGAGGGGGGATGGTACTTGATTTTACAGGAACAAAGTCAGTTATCAGCCCAGCTTAGCCTCTCCTTTCCTCTCTTGCAGTCAATTCCTAAGCGGTGTTTTTTTTTTTTTTTGATTGCACAAATGGCCTGGCTTGAAAATTGTCAGAACTGAGAAAACTTAGCAAGTTTGCTCAGGGTGTACGTAAGTTATGGATGGAACTAAAAAGAATTATAAGTGCTTTAAATTCTGAGGACTATTAAACATTGGCCCTCTTGTGGTTGATGGTAGTATATATATATAACCATGTAGTTCATCATAGTGATGTTTAATACCATTATTTTAAGATCTTGAGCTCAGATGGTAGCAAAGGATTATAGAAGACCGAGGTCTTTGCATTGCTTTGTTAGTAGCTGAGATTGCCACAGTGTATTGATTAAAAAATGTGTCCACTTCTCTTTTTTTTTTTTTTTTTTTTTTTTTTTTGGAAAAAAAAAAAAAAAAAAAAAAAAAAAAAAAAAAAAAAAAAAAAAAAAGTTCTAGGAAAAATATTAAACCCGGGGGGAGGCTGCTTCATGTTTATGTGGGGAAACTACACTGTGATTGAAATTTTTATCTTCCTTTTGCCTTTTTTGTCAGGAAAGGACAGACAGACGTGTTTTAATGTGCCTGAGGTTTATGGCAAGCATGAAATCAGAGTGTGTGTTTTCAGGAGTGAGCCTCTCCTGTAATCCTTAAAGCTTGTGATACATAGAAGCTGGATATCTAGACCTCAGGATTGTGGAGAAAAGCAGAAGGGATGCCAGGAGCTCTGTAGATTTAGTAGAGTCTATAGGTCAATGAGAAATTCTGATAGATTTGTCTTAAAATATTGTCTTGTTGACAGTACATTTTGGATCACTTACTATTTTTTTCATTCTTTCAGCTAATTATTAAATCTGATTTTTCTATCCTTTTGGCCATATGTTTTAAAAACATTAGGCAAATAAGGAAGAATGATTACTTGATGCCTTCAACAGTGGCTCTTGTATATGTAATTTGTCATTATAAACAGATAAATGAGCTTACATATAACATGTCTGGAAAATAAACAGGTTAGAAAAATATTTTTGCATGTTAAATAGGCGTTATTGCAGTGAAAGTGTGATGCATTGCACTTTGTGAAGGTAACATTTTGTTACTGAGTACTTGGTCTTTTTTATTCAGTAGAGAAATACTTGTTTCATGTTGTGGTTACTAGGAAATACTTTTCTTTTCCCTTCTGTCACTGACAACAAATAGAAACACTTTGCATTCTATTGATAGCATTTCATGATAAAGATACTGGTTGGTTTGACTGGGCGATTCAGAGTAGATCATGTGTAGATCAGATTGGCTAAAAGTAGATTTGTGGTCTGTGTGGCAGTGTGTCAGCTCAGACTGGAAGAAACAGGAGAAAAAGGTGCACTTTGTGCACTGTGAAATTACTTTGGGTGATGTTTTATGACGACAAATGGATAGCTGGGTTTATGTAATTTCAGACTTACTCGGAATGTCATGTGGCAAGGAGTTGCTGTGACTGGCAAATAATGGATGTATGAACTGATTTTTTTTTTTTTTTCCCCAGCTACATATGGTAGGATTTGAGCATGATTTAGGTTGGAAGAGACCAGTCTTTGGTGGTTATCTGCTCCAGCCTCCTGCTCAAAGCAGGGCTGACGTCAGTGTTAGACTGAATGTTGTGTGTGATAGAAAGGGAGGCTGATCATGGAAATAGCATATGGCAAGGTTTTTAAATAAAACCATCTAATAACTTGATTTAATAAATTGGAGGCCCAGTTCAGCTACCATTAAAACCAGTGGAAGCTTTTACATTAGGCTTAGTTAATGCTGAATCATCTGCATATGTAGTTTTCTCTATGTTATACTAGGTTTTAAGAGTACTAAGGCAGGATCAGGGTAGCATCACAAGTCAGTTTAAAAATATGGTATTTAGATCAAAACAAGTGCACATTTTTAGTGATATTAACATAAAGAGAAGAATAATGATAAGCTATTAAGTGTTGTCATTCATATGTAGTAACAAGTTGCCTTCTGTCTTCCTGATTGCAATCTGATACATGTACTAATTCTCTGTTAGGACTTTTAATTAGACACTTTCTCACTGTTGAATATTTGTTTCCTGAAGTATAAGACATCTCAGAGCTGCATGAGTTGGAAGGCTTAAGAACGGGGCGGGGGGGAGAGAATTTCTACAAAGTCCAAAGAAGCCGCTTATGTAAATGATAGTTTAACAAAAAAAAAAACCCCAAAACATAACAACCCAGATCTGTTAGTTGAATTAATGTTTTCAGTGGATGCAGACCGAAACTTTGTTGTGCCATTTTGAATATATGTATGTGTGTGATGAGTAGGGGAGAGGTGGTGCTGTGTGGTTTTGGTTTCATGCAGATAGCCTGGCTACTGGCCTTGGTGAGGAGCAGGTAGACAGACTCCTCATCCTGATACGTAACATCCTGCAGAATGGCACGGACGAAGGACTTACCTACCGGCAAATTTTCCATGTACAAGGTAGAGACAGATGTGGAAGTGATTTTTCAGCTGGAAAACAAGAGTGCTGGCAGGGTTTTGGGACAGCGTTTGGAATGAGAAATGGTTTGTGTTCCAGCCAGTGGCAGGGCCAAGGGTGTGGTCCCCTGACTCTGCTCGGAGCTTAATCGCCTTTGGCTGGAAGTCTTGTAATAAAGGTGGAGGTCACGCTGCTTTCTGGCTGAGAAACTGGGAGAAGCTTTCACGTTTGTTGGTGAAGCAAGAAGTGGATAGCTCTCTAACCTACCTCTAACCA